ATTTCCAATCTGAAGAAAGGGCAAGCACGTGTTTTATCATGTTTTTGATAATGGATGTAGATGCTTATGAAGTAAAGAAAGCAGTGTTGAATGTGAAACAAAAAAAAATGTCACAAAGATATGGTAAAGTAAACAAAAGAAATCGTTTGTCTTTTATACAAATGCTTAATCACTTTAAACAGGGTCTTCATACAGAATTTTAAAGAGACCTAACTTAATCCGTAACCAAACAGCAATATATGTTTCAGCAAAATAACATATGGGTACAGTTTTAGAAGCTGTAACAGGACACCAAGACAATGCACTTTAATTAGATAAATGAAATAGATAACATTCTTGGAAACACTTTGGCTACTCGCGACACAAGTTCCAAATTGCAAATTTTACCAGTATGTCAAAGGCAAAAACAAAACAAAAAGGTCAAAATGGATCATTTCAATTGTGTGTTAAATGTTTGTGTGATTGTTTGTTGTGTTTTATTCTTTTTCACTTTTAATTTCTACTCATAAATTGAATCCTCTCAACGAGTATATCCGTAATGCAGGAAAAAAATTCAGACATGATTCATTTACGAAATAAAAAGTGCTTATTACTCTGGCAAATATACTGAGTATCAAACTCAATTAAGGATAATCGATGTTGGATTAATTGATATCAATGAAATACAAGGTCTTCAGAAATAGGGTACTGCCAGGTTGTCATTCTCATGAATGTTTTTAAAATGCGAACGTTCTCCCGGAAACATTTGTAACTAGGTTTAAAATTTAGTCAACAATAATTTGTCTCTTTTATTTGGTTCACTATAAAATCTTTGGTACTTTTACATACCGTGTTGTTGTTTCGGTTATATATTTCCACAGTATCTGCCTTATTTTCACATGACTTCGTTTCGAGGTTTACCTGTTATTAATGCACAATGTAGAAAAATACAGAAAACCGGAATCCCCAAAGAACGCCCACAACGACAAAATTAAAAATGTTGCAGGTTCGATTTGATTGAGCCTGTGTATGGACGTACTGGAATGTACAGATGTAATCATACGGTGGTTATCTTGGAACCTTCAACGTGACACGTCAGTGCCATTCCATGAAAAGCGGCGCACGGTCCCCAAGTAAAATAATGTGTGTGTCATCACCTAGAATATTTTGATATCTGCTGTACCGATTGCATATTTTAGAATTATGGAAAAGGGGAGATCCGTCGAAAGTTAAGAAGAATATAATGGATAAAATCGTAGACTCACTTTAATTGAATATGTTATAGATAGACAATGTTACAAGTGCAAGACATTTCATGCCCCTCCTGGCACCGGTTCATGCAGTATACTTAGTCTTTGTCAATATTTCAAGTTTCGTCTGTTCTTTTTGATTTCACTTTAAAAAAAAATATTACATTTTAAATTTATATTTTATCTTTAAAATTACATCCATTTTAAAGAAAAAATTTAAATATATGCTCAATATATAGTTAACCTCGTTTATATATATGTTTTGAAAATATCTGATGTTTTTAAAAAGGAATCTGAGGATTTTTATTTTACAATATTGGTAATATCTCTATTCTACCTTTATTGACAGAGCTGTCTTCTATTCTAGTTTTGTTTCTCAAAAACCGTTATTAATAAAGAGAGATAAACCTATTGTTTTTCTTTCTTTTTTCTTCTTCTTCTATATAATGCATTTAAAAAACTTTTTTAAAAGCTTGTGTAAAAAATATTTAAATATTTTTTGTCTAAGTTGCTAACAGTAAATTGTTCATGGTTTATATACTTGTACATTGTATACTTATGATTTTCTTTATACAGACTGGCTAGAGCATTGTCTTTCTAATGACCAAAAATCCGAATGCAATGACGTCAGCGATGACATCGAAAGTAGTTACCTTGGTAACGATTCACCAGAGGAACGAAAAGGTAACTTATAGTTTCGTTATCAAGTAATATGAATCGTTATCAAGTTATTTGCCTAGATGGTAGACGGTTACTGTTTGTTTGTATCACAAAAATGTCGATGACTTCTAATCCAGTTACCTCTCTGGCATGGGTTCGATCCCCGGGAGATGCTTTGGTAGTTTAGCGCGGAGGAAGGTAGTCTAGTACTAGTGTAACTCTCCAGGAATGATGGTTAGGAAACTACCCGCCTATATGACTGAAATACTGTTGGGAAAAGGCGTAAAATGAAACAAACAAGCAAACAAAATCAAAAAAGTTATATATTGTCTGTCTTCTGGATTCAACCCTCACCACGTACTTGTCCACCTATCAGCCTGAACAAAAAATTTAATCTTTCTACGGACAATTTCAAATCTTTTACTGACTGAATTAGTGAATAGTGAACTGTACAAACCATAATGAGACAAACAAGCCTTAGGGTTGAGTGTTAAGTTATATTAGAACTTTATGCAGTACTTTGTGTTCCTCTTTCATTTTATGGTCATATTAATTGATTTCATGAGATAACTGAAAAGGTTCAAATCAAGTTATATTAATGTGTATTCCTACGCAAATACGTTCATCTGAACCAAACCTACAACTCATTTATTAGACCTTACATTGTTAAAAACTTAAAACTTTGAAATTAATAGGGTTTTTCTTCCAAATTTTTAAGGGAACATACAGGTGAAATCACGTCGAAACACTCAACCCAAAACTTAAATGGTAAATTTTCAATTTTACTATCTTTAAAAACTTGGGCATTTATAGCATATGAAATTAAAAAGGGTTTTTAATTTTTAATCATTAGAAACTTTTATTAATATCTTTGGCGTCTTTTAAAAATTTTAATTTTGTCGCCCCTTTTTTTATTCTTTTTTAAAATTTAAGGACTTTTAATTGTCGGGGAATTTTCAAAAAGGTCAGCATAACCCAAACTACCAATTTACTTTTGTTTTCAATCTTTTACTAACATCAGAGGGTTTTTCAATTTATAATTTCAGAGCTGTATTTTAACCCTCTGGTGCCACCACAAAAAGAAGACAGTGCTATCTGCTTATGCCTAAGTCACCATTCAGGATTTTACTGCCGTCTTTGATTAGGACCATTCCGGGGCCCGACATTAAAATGTGTCAAAAGTCTGATCAAGATCCTGTGATTCGTGGCTGGAAATCAAATTTTATTAAAATTTGTAAAAAACATTTATTTAATCACGAACAACAATCAGATATTGTTCAGGAGGCCGTCCTGATCCAGCCGTTTCCAGCAGAATCGTCCGATTATCCCGTTCTCAATCCAATTCTGATCCGATTTGTATCTTTGTCATGGTAAAAAACGACCAAATATGTCCCGACCACGTCCCGAATTCTCCGGAATGCGATCCGACAGAGATCTAGACAGTGACGCAGACAATGGAACCGACCTCTGACGGAAAGACATCCCGTTAGAAAAGCCGTTTCACGTGATAGTCCCTAGCTATGGTAGGTAGAGACTCCGGTATTTTTAGGTACTTTACACGCAACGTGCTTCCGTTCAATGTACCGCAGACATGTGGGAAGTTCCATCTGCCGGAGAAATTCAAGCGATTTCCTTCCATCCGCTGGTAGTGGGGACGTTACCCCCTTCAGGACTCATCAATGAGGTTAGACTAACAAACATTTACTGGGAAACTTGGGAAACCCCGAAATGCCACTTTATACTGCAAATTCGCGGATGCCGATCCTCAGGGCAGGCAAACTTTTTCCGGATCAAGGTTTTGCCTCAAGGATTTTTTTTATGCGGGGCATCCGACCAGCACTTATCTAATTTTTAGGGCAGCCTCATGATTTATGAAAGCTTTGGGTTTTCTTTTTCTCAGCCCCTTAATGTTATACGGCAGCTGTCCCTTTGTATATCCAGGCTTGCCCCAGTATCTTCTATTTTCTACCGGGGTCGCAGTGCCCTTCTGTTCAAATAATAATTGGCAAACAGAAGGTCTTCTTCTCCTTCTTCCATTTCAATGGGAGCAACCTCCTGCAGAGTTTCCGTCTACGAGCAGCATTCATGGTGGACCGGTCAAAGTACTGTCAATGAATGACACACATGCACGCGTTATACGTGAGCAGCTCAGCCGAATCTGGAAATCCACGCATCTGGAATCCTACAACTGTCGCAATATTCGGGATGATCGGGGCACTGCTAGAACGCAATTCTATTACAGTCTGCTGTACCGCATTGCACACGCCTTTTTCTGGACTCAGTCGTATCGTGTTCAGTAATTGTGGTGACTCTGACGTGGGCATTATTGCAGAATTTCGTATTAATCACAGAACTGTTCCGGGACGGATTCGGCAAAGACGGTTCGCATTCGGCAAGATCTGGGCGCAATCTGGACTCAATCGGCAAGAAACGGCAATGCAAAATTTCTCCCGTTCCACAGGACACTGACCAGACAACACAGGACATTGTTACGATTTTGATCCGATACAGGAGAATCTGTCACGACATAGTCACGATTGTATTGTGAGTTTCCCGAATGTTACGGGACGCACCTTACTGTCGGGAGTGCTTGACCGACCTCTCCGGACCATTTCCGATCCGTAGGACTCTGTTACGAACATATACGACTGCGTTCAGACAATGATTGGACATTCCAGATCATTGAGGATAGTAATCCGACTTTTTCGCTTTTCATGTCGTAGCGCTGTCTGATCTCAAACGGGAGCCATAATTGGCACTGTGTGAACACCGCATTAGAGCCGAATTAGAATCAGCTTGCACTTATTCATGTAAGCTCAAAAAGTGGTCGAGGTTCTGTACAATCGGCCTGTCAAATATTGTATTTTTGATATTGTAATTTCTTATAAAAAATCACAAAACCAACATAGTGCGTTTGCGACCAGCATGGATCGAGATCAGCCTGAGCATCCACACAGTCTGGTCAGGGTCCATGCTTATCGCTGTCGGTTTCTATACTTGTAATAAAGTTTGTAAGTGAACATCATTGATGCGCATTCTGGTCTGGATCCATGTTGGTCGCAAACGCACAATGTTGGTTTTGTCATCGCGCGGCTCACATGATTGCTCTCCATGTATAGGTTAGAAGAGAATTACGAGATAGCGGAAGGTGTATGTATACCACGGAGTACACTATATGTTCATTACTTGGATTATTGCGAGAAGCATGATACCCAGCCTGTCAACGCTGCCAGTTTTGGAAAGGTAATTCTAAAGTATTTTTTCCTAAGACGTTTTGCACAATAGTTGCATTTGATATATCTGATATTACTGAGACTAATATACACTCGGGATTAGAATTTGGTACTATTTCTCTAAGTTAGGGATAAAAGTTTTGAAAAGAAAAGTTTTTGCGTGTTCATTAAAATCTGGTAAAGTTATGGTCCCTCGAACAATATTTTATGAAAATTTAATGAAATATAGTGTAATAGTGCAACATCTTTCACAGGCGTTTTTCAATTTACAGCACTAACATAAAATACTTACTTTGAAGTATTACCAAGACTCCAGAACAGGTCTATGAACTGTAAATTATAGTTGTCCTGATGAAGAGCAACTTTACTCGAATATTAAGATTATCTAGTTGATTTAAACATATCTATTTAAGCAGTGTCTTGCAACTTATATTCATCACTTTCGAGTCCGCTACCTAGAACCAACCTATACTGCTGTCATATGAAGAATCATGGTCGTGACCCGATTAGGGCTCGAACCCATGATCCCTGGGTTTAGAGGCACATTAACCACTAAGCCATCGCTCCCTTAAGCCATCTTGTATACTGATAAAGATATTTTTATTAATCATCTTTTCTCTTAATTATCTTTCCTGACTTTTGATTACCTTTTCTTACTCTTCTAATTATCTTTTCTTTTAATTATCTTTTCTGACGATTAATTGTCTTTCTGACTATTAATTATATATCGATTCTTCTATTTATCTTTTCTTTTAATTTATCTTTTCCTAACTCTTATTATTTCTACTGATTATACATGTATATTGTTTTCAGAAGACAAATTTATTTTTATATTTGCATTAACGTATTGTAGATCATAAGGCAGCAGTTCCCTCAGCTGACAACTAGACGCTTGGGCACTCGGGGTCAGTCAAAGTAGGTAAACGCTTAGGCACTCGGGGTCAGTCAAAAGTAAATACTTTGGCACTAGGGGTCAATCAAATTAAGTAAACATTTATAACTTGGATCAAACAAAGAAATCAAAAAGCTCTAAGCGGCACTTGGAGTCTGCCAAATTACGTAAACTCTTAGAATTTGGGTTAAACAAAGTAATAATACCTTGAGTAAACGGAATCATTGAAAGTGAAATGTTTGTGATTTGTTTTGTAATTCTATAACCTTTATTTTATTATTTTCTATACTTACTGATGGCAAGTAAGGTAATATCTAAATTACTTGAGCTTAACCGATAAAGATATACATTTCAATAATAAGTTTATGATAGTAATAGAAAGTAGAATAATGAAAAAATAAATAGATATAATACTATAGAATGTATAGCAGAGATAATGAAATATGCCTCAACTAATTTTAAATAGAAAACATAATTGCACTAACTGCAAAAGAACAAGTATATTAACGATCTACTTAACTTTATATGAGCCGCATGACAAAACCAACATAATGGGTTTGCGACCTGCATCCGCGCAGTCTGATCAGGGCTTACAAACCCTATTTCAAGTAGAGAAACTGACAGCGCGGATGCGCAGGCTGGTCTGAAGCCATGCTGATCGCAAACCCACTATGTTGGTTTTGTCATGACGCGGCTCATATGATGTTTATTTAATTAGCATACTTTCCCTTCTAGGTATCACTATTATGGCATAGGTGTGAGAGAAACATCTAAATATTATGAAGTGGGATTTTCGGCAAAAGGTGTGCAGAGGTAAGTCAATATCAAACCTCATGTATGTGATGTAATTGATTTAAACGCTGCTTCTGAACCGTAACCTACATTTATTATATCTATTATTATCATTATTATTATTATTATTATTATTATTATTATTACTATTACTATTATAATAATAATTATTATTATTAATGACGCCTGTGACTGTTGCTGATAGCCGGTGTGGTACGGCATGAAATATTGAAAGTATCCACTTCAAATGCTTCTATGTTTTTGTTTGATACATGTGCCCATATATATAATTTGATACGTGCACTCAAAGTTTAAAACACAAATAAAGCTGATTATTAAAACAATACTTGTCTGGAGGTTAGTAGTTTTGTACTTGTCAGAATCACCCCTATTCAATGCACTTTATATATCACAAAAATATGTATGTCTCAAATTAAATATTTGCTTATCCCCAGAGTCTTTGTATTTCAAATACCCCGTTAACACGAACAAAATTGCAAACAATCAAATTAATAGTCAAAATACAATGCAGATATACTATATATTATTTTTAGTTATGATTATGTAATATAAATATAATTATTCATATTTAGCAAGACTCATAGCGATATTCACCTGTGATCTTTGAAAAATCATAATAGCTATTTTTCAATATTTACAGTTCTGCTGATGGTAAAAAAGACACAACAAAACAGGTAAGCGTACAGAAATTATCATCTTTATCATCTTAAGTGCTTTTTTTGTAGTTTTGGTAAATGATTTCAATTTAACTGAATATTGGTGTAAGCTTAACACATAGTGTCTCAATTTCGGTATACTGTCTAGCTTACGTGGTACACTATATATAATATGCATCCTTACAATTACTTGTTCAACACATGAACATTTACAAACGAAGTATAGATATGCAAATTTCATTGTAGTTTGTTTTAACCTTTGTTTTTAATTTCGAATGATTTACAGATTAAAGATCTTTTCTTTGTTTCAGATAATTGCATACTCACCGCGTTCTAAGTTAGGAACTTTACTTCCGGACTTTCCGGATATAAAAGACATCAAACTTCCCCCAAATGTTGCCGAGGATAAGGTGGGTAAAACATTAAACGTTTATAAAAAAAAGAGTTAAAATAGAGCTGCACGTTGCAAACAATCACCCAATGTTCCGTTTAATTCATGCAATTCATGCTTTGAAAAACTTGCTATTACTTGTATATTTGATGCCAAAACTTTAGTTTCTATTTTAAAACCTTCATTTATTTATCAATTCATTCAAATATCAATTCATTCACTCATTCGTACGTTCGTTCGTTCATTTATTTTGTTTATTTATTTATTTAATTATTTATCTATTTATTATTTATTTATTTATTTATTTATTTATTTATTTATTTTCTATATAAAGTCTACAGCACATGTACATTGAGATGTTATAATTGATCATGTAGTTATATATTATGGAAGCAGCATAATTTTACTGTTTATACATAAAAAAAATAAGATAAAGCTTTTTACCCTATTATATTTCTAATGAATTTTTTGTATTTGATTACAATTTTAAGCTCATTTTTCGTAATTTGTTCGAAGATTATCAATATCGTGTGATTCAATGTATTATCTTATAGAACAAAATACCCTTCCTCCTTAATCGCTTGAAAGTTTCAAAATGTGTTAGAAGTAAACGGGTATTTTAAATTGTTTCAAATTATTTTACAGGTTTTAACATTTCTGATGATGTACAGAACACATTGTCAAAGGATACTAGACACTGTGATACGTGCAAATTTTGATGAGGTAATTGTGATGTATTAATATCTAATTTAATTAATGAATATCTTGTTTGATAAATTTCTTATTTCATATATAAAAATCTAACTTTATAAGTGAATACATGTATATAGTTTTCTTATTATATAATTTCATAGATAAATATATATAATTTCATAAATAAATATCTAATTTCATTGATAAATATATAGTTTAAAATTTGTAATAACATACATAATTTCATAAATACCTAATGTGCTTTTAGTCTTTTTATGTAGTTCATAAAAAGAATATGAAACCCGTTTCATTGATTTATTCTTCCAAATAATTATGTTTAAAGCATGAAAAAAATATTCTTGTAAAATATCCGAAAATCCAGTTAGTTTTATTTAGCAGCACTTATACAATGTATGTTAGTGACGGATCGTATTGATAAGATATACTATAAAATAGCCAAGTATATTATACTCGTTGTAAGTTATGATACATAAACTTTGTTGCACACGATTGACCTGTTACACGAAATTACTATTACTGTTCTGATAAATTCCATATTGCATGTTATTTGACATAGATATGGTATATAATTTTTATTCTACTTTCTTTTTGTCGAACATTTGTCCAAAGGTGTGGTTGCAAACATATACTTATTGTACCGCTGTTCTGATTTTCATTTGTATATACATTTGTATTTCTATATGCTGAGCAGTTTCTCATATTTCTAGGCTTAAACATAGTTAAACTGTTGGTTATATATAAATATCAGTCTTTAACAGCCCGTGTAAAGTTCAATTGCTATGCAATACAACATTTTATTATTATACTTGATATCATACATCATATTTCAGGTACAAAGTTTTTTACTGCATTTCTGGCAAGGCATGCCAACTCACATTAAATCTATTCTGGAAAGCAAGATACTGGTCACGTTGGTTGGAGTGTGTGATTCGATACTCTACAGGGCTATTGCCAACGTCCTGATGCCGACCGTGTTGCAGCCTTTACCCGAAAGGTAAGCCTTTAAATAGATGACAGGAGGTGTGTGTGTGGTAGCTGTAAATATTTGATATTCAAAGGTTTTGAATATACACGTTTTAAAAAGTTTGAATTTTTGTCAGGTAAAATTTTGAATATACATGTATTAAAGGAATAGTGAAACAAAGTTGCACATTTAGCTTACCTTTGAAATGCATTTAAATGTTACATGAAATGATTAATCCGAAAAATTAACTGCTTTATATAAGAAGTAAACACATTTTCAGTGTGATTTCAAACTTATTTTTATGATAACAATTGTAACAAAAAGAAACATCTCTGTACTTTTCATAACAAAATTTTAAACATTACATTGACGGTGTTATTTTGATATTGCAGTTTAACTCAGGTTATTCGGAACTTCTCGGTTCAGCTTGATGACTGGCTACGCCAAGCTTTAGATTCTCTCCCAGACAGTTTACAAAGAGTGAAATTTGATCGTAAGTCTCAACTTAACATTATTATTTAATTTAATCCTATACCATTTGACTTGTTTTGGCTATTCCATTTTGACCACCCGTATAGTCTGACCACCCGTACTGTCTAACCAGTCTCTATACTGTTGGCTTTATAACTTAAAATTTCTTAATTAGAATCTATATACCCACATGATAATGGGCACTTCTATAGAATGGCAGCTAGTTTATTCAATTTAAGAAATTCAATAAGTGAAGGGTAAACTACTTGACACATCCATGGCTAGTATTCTTAAAGATGTTGACTTTTGTATCGGATGCGTTCTTTGTCCGTCGCTCTTCTTTTGCTAATTTTTGTTTTATATCCTACAAGAAATTTTGTTTTTAATACTGATTTATTTCGTACCACTTGCAACCTGGTATACAGCCAAACTTCGTTTGCTCGAACTCGGGGGACCGTGCAAATTTGTTCGAGAGATTGGTTGTACGAACCTACTCAGGTATTATTGCTATTAATACTCAATTGATTTTTCTAGTCGCAAGGCGATTTTCACAGGTTCTAAAGAGGCAGACGTCACTAAACCATTTATGCCAGGCGGCAAGAACGGTGATAAATTCGGCGGAAATTACGTCACAGATGCTAGACGATTGGTTCAACGTGGATCTCAACAGCATAATCAAACAGACGCTTTATACTACCGAGAGTAGTAACAGTATTGACAATATCGTTATTGTCAAACGTAAGACCTTCTTATTATGACAAAGGATATATAATGCCAAAATAGTTTAAGTCTTAATCTACCGGAACCGGAAGTAACCACTAGTATAAAGCCAGACATCCGTGCAGTCTGACCAGGCTCAATACTGTTGGTATCTTATGTTTTGTATTTTGATGTTGAAATCATTTAAACTTTGAATAACATATTCTAAATCCATAGTTGCACATTTCATTACGCACATTCAGAAGGTTAAAATATTTGAGGCAATTCTTAAAAACTCTTATATATAATTCTGTCAAGATTCGCCCAATGTGATTCAAATCTTTGTGTCGTTTATGTTATGTTGAGCTTATTTCAGATAAAATATATGCTTCTGATAGTTTTATTTCGCATGCCATATTTCCTTACTTTACAGCATACCATATCATTTGATATTTCCTTCTTTGCGTTATAAGACTTTGCATTTATAAAGCAATCTCTTTTTTAATTTATCAATATTAAGTTCCCTTTACATATATGAAATACATTGTTTGGTGTATGTTATTAATTTCGTACCATCAAATTTGTTTTTCGAGTCGTTGTCTTCATAACACTTGTCCCTCGAAGCTATGGGTTCTAATCCCGACAAGGTCTTTTGATTCTTTCGCGTGAGAGAGCTAGCTACAGAAAGTCGGTGATTTTACACAGATGCCCGTTCGTGCCTGAAATAATGCATGATGGGGGCACCTGAGCTCTTATGACCTTATTAGTGTAGAATCGACGTTATTACTGAAACCCAACCAACCAAAAATAATATGTCAATTTTCCCTTATGTAAGACTACAGATTTTCATTGCAATGTTAATTATCATTTTTATACAAATATAACTTATCTATATCAAATTATTCACAAAATAAGTCAAACATTTTTTTTTATTTTTCAGTCGCTCGAGATTTTGAAATTTTACTAGAAGAACAGGCTCCATTAGAATCCTATATTGAATGGCTGGACGGAATGATTGAACAATGTGTGTCGAAGGTAACAGAAATGTGTTACACATGTCCTACTTAGTGAAAACTTAAACGCTGTTTCTTTTTTCTATGATATGTTTTTATATTGTTAATTTATTCAAATAACTAAATTATTGTGATGAATGAGAAAGTATATTTATAAAAACAAGAAATATTGTCCCGAGGGCAGTCCAGTTATTTAGTTTTGAACCAATACTAATTAAGTACTAGTACTTTATTCTAAATATCCATCAGGTACATAGCTGTTTTATCTAAATTAAGCACGATAGATATATTAGCTTTGCAATTCACCATAACGAATCGTTATAAAATGTATGTACTATACAAAAAACTAGCTGTAGCGATCACACAAAATGTGTCAAATAAAAGAAGTGAAAACCTTAGAATAACGCCGATTCTTTAAGAATGAGTAGAGTGTCTGCTACAGTCTGATTTGCGATTATATTCTGTGTCGTAAGAAAGCATTTCTCAGAGTAAGTATATCAGACATGCTTATTTCTTAAATGTTTTTCACATAAAATAATTTATTCATCTCCAGTAATTTGAGCTCAAATGGAACTTATACATCATTTATTTATCAAGGTTTAGAAATGTTATCTTCATAATTCTAGTTTGTGTTTCAAACATATACTTACCGTAAAAGAGCGATACTATACAATTATAGACTAGTGAGCTATTGAATATGATGTGATATTCACCGGTAAATGTCATTTTGGCCTATGCGTTCTGTTGACTATTGTTTAAACTTCTGAGATAGTAACTTTTAAAATATCGGCCTAAAGAGAAGAGTTTTATTTGTTAAATGAATTTTTTTTGCACAAATGTCTGTAAAATGAGATAATACGGTGTTGTTTTAGAAATGCAGACAGAAGGGTGAGGCAACACCTCGGGTAGCCAGACAGTTCTTGTTGATGTGGAGTTGTGTCGGAACACGTGTTATACGGGACATGACATTACACAGTGCACCAAGCTTCGGTATATGAAACAAACAAATGATATAAAGCATGGAATTAATAACATAAAAATAACATATCATTTTTACGCAAGAGCAAAATAATGGCAAAATATCATTAAAACTAAATATATGTGGCTTTGCAATGATATATATACAACTATATATTCTTATCAAAGGTCCATTATGTCTTATAATTGCTATAAGTTTTTTTTTCTAAAATGTCAATCTTTGGTATCTTGTCACAATTTCAAGAAAATACTCATTTGCATAATATACATAAATTATATTTTGCTTTTGTTTTGCTTTGCAACTGGTATATTTCTTGTATTGAACTCAAAATACTACTTTGTTTAAATTTGGCCACCTTTAACTATCACTATATGTTTAGCGCTACTTTTTTCAGTTGTTGATTTTTTAATATACTCTTATTCCATAACTGAAACATTATCAAACACAAGTTTGGCAGTTCAAAAATATGTATTTTTGACGCATAATCAAATGCTTGATAATTATTACACAATTGTGAAATATTTTAATCTCTCACGCAGTTGTATAATAGTATTTATCTCTCTCTTTATAAAATACTTGACAATTATTTGAAATCTCAAATTTTGTAGATTGATGCAAATTTAAATTACATTTCATTTATTTATTATTATTGTAAATTATACTGTAGTAGCGTTTTGGATTGTGGACGCCTGTAAAATTTTGGTGGTTTACTGTTAACCTAGTGCCTGTTAATTAATAATTCAGTAAAGCTTTAATTCTTTATGATATATATAATTGATATAATTGTCAGGTTCGTTCCATTTGTTACATTTGATGTTTGATGAATATGTGCTGTACATGGTAGAAGATATTCACAATCATGACAAAGCTAATGATTTGTTACGAGCTGTTAAAGGAGAAATATCTATGGGTAAATGATATATTAATGTTGTTAATTGTTCAATCAGTAATTGATTAGTTTGATTTCGTCTTTGTTTTCAATAATCTGAGATTCGTCAGCTTCTTCTATGGCGTCTGTTTCCAGCTAAAATGTATTCGTTTGACAGGAAGCCATAACTGTAACTCAGTTTGCTTAAAGATTACTTTTCAAACAATTTTGCCAATTAATAAATTTATTTTTAACAATGAACTTATGTATGCAGATTCTGAAGAACGCAGTACAAAATTTATTTTCATATTAATAGCAATATTGAAAGTGCTTAGCGTACCAATATGTCTATTTTACGATTCAGATATCTTAGACGATCTTCTCATCTCGCCACAGCAGTCTTGCAAAAGCAGCGTCTTGGGAGATGTCATGGACACACAACGAACAACAGTTATACGGGGACCTGAATCACCATATGCAAATACAGGTTACGTGTCGGACTAGTAATCTAAATATTGCTGGCCGCGTGGGGTCGAACCCAATCAGGGTCCGGCCAAGTCGGTTTTTACTCCTTAAGCAAGAAACTTTTCATTCATTGTTTAGTACTGGTTGAGATTCCAGGAACGGATTCGAAACTGTTAAATAAGCTGACAGCTTCCAACACAATCGAAGTAAAATGATTTTGTAAATATTGTAATCCTCAACAAAGCTTGATCGGATAATTCAAGAGTCATGTAGGAACATATCAAATTTTGGCCAAATTTCAATAAATTTCAAATTGTAATAAATCTAGAAAAGCATCATTCTTTCAGTATAAAACTGTAGCAGGATTATATGACAACATTTTGAGATGTTTTATCTTTACAATACCATGAACATTTCATTTTTACCTCACATATAGTAACATGAAAACAACACATACAAAGTGCAACTTGATGACAAGTTCATTCGTTCGTATGAAATTAAAGATATATTATTGCATCAACGCGTTTTATAGAGCTTTGTGATTATTAACTGATTAGATTGAATATAGATATAGGTTAAATTTTACATGTATATCTTCTTGATTTTTAGATATGGAAGAGAGTCCGGCTTACTATTCCCAGAATGACACTATGTGTTTTCAACAACCTGTTATGTGTACAAATCAGAGATTATTAAGGTATGTCCGCTGAAGGGAAGAGCCATTGAGAGAGCACAAAAACACAATAGAAGCTAAAAATTAATAAAACCATAAAAACTTTTCAGTAGTTCGAATTCAGTCCAAGATTGCACATGCAAACATTATGGTTAAATTTATGTGCAATAAATTAAAAAATAGACATGTATATGTTTTCCTCAAAAGTCAACATTACATATAAACTTTAATACTTTGTTATTAATAATGTCCTGCATACATATCAAAACACACACACTAGTGTTGACTTTTTCTAGTTTTTCAGTTATCTTCAGCTTCTGTCTTGTTTTCTCATTCCGGCTGTCTACCTGTTGGCAGTTAGATTCAATTTCTTTATCTTTTGATAATTCAAGTAAAAGCTTGATATTTTGTTCATCATTACACACTGTTATAAAGGGACTCAAAAGAGGATTTTCGACATAAAGGGACTGGAACTATTTTTTCAGGAATTGTGTACCATTTGTATAAGGTCTAATAACTTTTTGTGCAAATTTTCAGATCATTCTCTTATTTCATTTTCCCAGAATAACCATTTTTATTGTGCAAAAAGACCAAGAAAAGTTGAGTGTTGAAAAGCTTTTCATTTAGATGGAGTTTAAGTTAGCTATGTGTATATCTTTTTGTTCTCCATTTTACGTCCATCACATGATCTATGTTAACAAATTCAAATTTAGTGTAGTTGCTCTCAGTAGTGCTCCTATAAAACAAAGCCTCCATTCTTATTACAATACTCATTTGTATAACAGTTTTATCATTACCATTTACAAAACAGTTTCTCATTTTTTCAGTCCACCTGGACCCCCATTGAATCAATCTCTTCCGTTTGGAAATGCTTATTCATCACCTTGTCGACAAAGAGGTAACTCATATTACGGACTTTATTCGTCACATTTACCGGAAGTAATTCCAACCAATAATTCCGCGGCTAATTCTTACGACTGTAGTGATTGGTCAACAGTCGGGCAATTAGGATCACACGGATCAACAAACATGGCGGCAGGAAGCAAAAGTCTTACAGATTCAGTTGTTGCTATGAAACAAAGTAATACAATGGATATACAGACTGTTCAACTTCAAACAGAACCGCGAATCAACACCAGTCAATATTATAGTGGGTTTTGTACTGAGCAAACAGGTGTTAAGAGGTGTTTAACTGGAAATCAAACCTATAATAGAAGATGCTTAGAAGATGAAAGTATTAGACCAAATATGGCGGACATGTACTATCATCACGTGACAAATTTATTGTGATTTTTCGACCTACCATACATGTTAGTAAGTGCGAGTAATGATTTTCTAGGACGTATGGCTTGGTATTTGGTATTGATTGTAGTTCAATAGAAAGATGTTTTCGTTATATCTCGTTTATTTATTTGTACATTATCTTGACAAAATAAATATATAATAAAACATGTATTATAACTCTTGTTAACAATAAACAATGACACTACGACAAATTCATTAAAAACAGCTGTACTTAACAAACTCCTTTTGTACTCAGATATACATACATATAACTACAACTTGTAGTTCAGTTTAAAATGGCACTCTAATTAGCTTCTGAAGAAAACAAAAAGACCTCAACATTCGTTCAATTTATACAAGTCTCTGCTTAATTATATCGCATAAGAGCGAAACTAATGATAAAATATAAATTTATAATGTTATAAACACAATATTTAAGATAAAAAAGAAAAATATCCAATAAACGAGCTGAAAAAAAACTACAACTACAACAACAACCAATAAAATTAATAATAATAAGCAATAATCAAAGTATTGCTGGCACTAGAAAAGTCCACTACAAGTTTGAACACCACAAGATATTTTAGATTTTATGAAACTGTTCAGGTGTTATCTGTAACATCGTGCGTTAAGTTTCCTTGCCTAATAATAAAATTATGTTTATCTTGGGGTTGGAACCCCATATGGATCTCAAAATAAAAAAATATGTGAATTTTCGCTCATCCAGATATGCGCAATAACTCGATATGTGAAGGAGAAAATAGGTCAATCTCAGGGTAATTTTTCAATTTTTTTAACATTTATATAAAATTCAACGATTTTTTAAAGTTTTCGTGGAGATATTCTTTCCTTCCCGGTTCTGGTGTGCACAAAACATGAAATGCATATAACGAAAATGTCGCTAGCCCTGTGTGATAGCTCTAACACTAAGAGTTCCTACACTGTGAAAGACCTTTATCACTGTGCAATAGCTTAAATAATGTGCAACAGCTCAAGCACCTAGCTAGATCCCAAAAAGTGTGGTTAAAAGCTTTAGCACCTGTGTGATAGTTCAATGATTTACAGTAGCTAAAACACTCCGCAATCGCTCTAAAACTTTGCGAAAGTTCTTTCAGTGTGTAAGAGCTCTCTTGCTGTAGAAGCAGTAGCTCAAGTTCTAACACTGTGACATAGATCTTACACTGAGTTATAACATATTAAGTAAAGCAATATTCTAGTCATAAAATAAGTAACATACATGCACGTCATTTATTATAGTTTTACAAAGAAATAATTCCGTGTGCCTATTCACGTGGGGGGTCACGTGACTTTGTATAGTAATATAAACGAGTAATGGCGACTTCTGAGGTCCTAAACGTGTCCTCATGTCACACTAGACCTGGCCTATCATATGCACGGTCTCGTGTGACTTACTAAAGCTGCATTTGCAATTTTCACATAATTCAAACAATGTTCTCGAAAAGCCTAAAACATAGAACAATGCACTTTTTATATTTAAAGAAAATTACCGTGCATATAATGGGTCAAGTCTAGTTTTGATATAGAAAACGTTTCTCACCTGTAATTAAAAAATAATAATGAACTTACCGAGGCCCAGAAGTCGCTATTACTCGTTTGTATTACTAAACAAAGTCAAGTGACCCCCTCCCCCTTCCCTTCCGCTATAGTCTCAATAATTTATTGCGAATCTCTGTTCTATTGCATTCCCACTCGTCTTTAACACAGAATTCTGGAATCTACAAAAAATACAGAATTTTTTTTTTTAGTAGATTTCAATTCAAGTGGCTGTACAAACAAGTCAGAAAGACTTTAATCTTAGAAATAACTTATTCATTTTCGTGTAATATAACATTTCTGTTATGTGGCGAAGTCTATCTTATAAAACATAGCTGAATCCAACTATTCAAAGTGAATAATTGAATCCTTATCATACTTTTTACAATATAAAGAAAAACAATAGTGCTTACAAAAGTTAAGTAGTATATGTACAATACTTTCAAAACGTTATTGGCCGTAGTGAAAGATGATAAATTTCTCGTAGTGTAAACTAAATTAAGGAGAAGCATGGTATTTTGAGAACTCACATAAACTTATCCTAGCATTATACGACATATTTTAGTCTGAAAATTGATTTCTACTTATAGGAATCAAATTTGTATGTATACTTACATCAAAAAAATGTTTTGGACATTTTTTCCATTGGTAATATATCTCGTTCCATTTGTCAAAGAGATTTAACTTCACATACATGTAATCAAATTTAAGTGTCACTGAAAAGGAAGTATTTGGAGGTAAGTAAAGTATTGATATAACGCGATTTGATATTCCAATTCAGACTCACATTTTTACCAAAGGCCACCGTCAAAATAAAAAATTCGAAGGAAGATATTGCAGTAAAGATTTCTACAAGAAACATCAATTTCTTGTACAAAATATAATGAAATTTTCAAATTTGACATTGGCAGTCAAGGTCGTTTATAGATCAAGGTCACACTTTATTCAACAAGTCAGTGTTGTCTTACACGTTGTTTTCTGCCAATATGAATTAAATCTGTCCACGACTGTCAAGTTCATTTTTGATCGATGCAACATATCATTTTGCGGTAAGTGTTGTTTTGTTCAAGTATAAGTCAAAATCTGTAACATCGTGATAAAGTTATCCCAAATTACAGCAAAAATAATTGACTTGAAATGGTCAGTCATTTTCACTTTAAGGTCAAGGTCATATTGAATGCAATAAATCTGCTGTGTCATATGTTGCGTTATTTCTAAGTATGGATACTATTAATCAATAAATAACAAAGTTATGACAATTTAAGCTTAATAGTTTGACAATCAAGGACAAGGTTAAGGTCATATTCGAATAATTCAACAAGTCAGTTTATTCTTTGCAAGTATGAATCACATCTGTCATGACAAATTTTATTAAATTCAATTATTTGACATTAAAGTCCAGGGTGATTTAAGGGTCGAGGTCAAACTTGAAATACTTTCATATGGTCAGATTTTGTCATAAGTATTCGAACCAATTCTGTTAATTAATAACAATGCTATGAGAATTTAAAGAAAATAAAGTTACTCGTCATTGACAATCAATAATATCTAAAGGTCAATATCTTTTTGTGTGTGAAAATGTCGGTTCCGTTGCAAATAATCTTATGTTCAAGTTTTAGGTAATAAATTACAAAGTTATGACAATAAAAGCGATAATTAACAATTTGATCTTAACGGTCAATGCCATTTTAAAGTAAAGATCTTAACTGAATTATTTATCATGTCAGTTTTCTAATAAGTGTTCTTTTTCCCTAGTAAATAAATAACATATTGGTTACATATGATAATTTAAGCAAATTTGAATCTGATGGCCAATGTCATTAAAGGTTTAAGGTCATATTTGAATTATTCAACATGTCGGTTTTGTAATAAGTGTTATTATTTAAGTATTAAACAAATCCGTAAATAAATTAACAAAGTTATGGCCATTTTTAGCCAAATTAATAAACTTGACACTTATTGCAGGCATGAATGGGCACCTGAATAGAACCACCTACGTTCCTGAATCTAGCTTGATAGCGTCCTCAAATGAAAATATCCAATGTTAAGTTCGAACTAACAGTGGTGAGGGGCAAGTGGTGTTAATTCAACGACCTTTACCACTCGGCCAGCGACACGTCGCCCTAAGTATGATGATAACGATAATACTTCATGTATAGTTTAAGAAAGAAACAAAAAAACAAAGAAGAAAAAAACAATCCCAAACGCAGTGAAATTAGAAAAACTTGATCGTCAAGTTCATTTATGAGACATTGTAAGGTGGTTTTAAGACTTAAGCTGAATGCAGTTTACATATAATTTATTACTTACTATACCAAATAATAAAGATGTAAACATTAACTTTAAGGGTGAATGTTGCTATACCTATAAATGCATTACGTAAAAAATGTCCTTTTTCAGGCAACAGAATATAACCCGATATATATGTCGATATTATTTAGAATAATAAATTTGTATTAATTTATACTGATTTCTTTGGACACAGGTGCCGTTGGCTTGGTTATGCATTCATTGCGCCATTTGTAAAAAGAAATACTCCATTCTTGCACTTCTTGTCTCCATTCATCTATAATGCTTTCAGAATCTGTAAAAGCGTGTCTTTCTAAAATGTAATTGCAATTCAATTTAAGTATAACATTGAAATGTAAGTTACTATAAGTCTTGTACCTATTCGCAACATCATTTTTCAAGTCAAATGCAGAAATTTCTCTACTATAAGTCTTGTACCTATTCGCAACATCATTTTTCAAGTCAAATGCAGAAATTTCTCCGCAAATTTTAAATATGCACATCATAAAATTTAGTAAAGTAAGAAAGAGGTTTTCAAGAAATGTTCTTGCACAAAAATAAAGTTGAATCAAGTCATTCAATAAAATGTTAATGTTGAAAATTATCAATTCATGAAATTCGCAAAATTTTCCTAAAGTTTACCACTTTCAATCTTTACATATGATTCATTTATAACGAAACCGTATATTTCTTTAAAGTATAAAATGATGTAAAAACAAAGTTTTTATACTTACCAGCATGTATATAATTGTAAATGTTATTAGACGATTTGTCATTCCAAACAGGTTTATTGTTGCCCAAAATATGTTGAAAAATAAAATAAATGAAAAAACTAGTGGCGATGGCTGCAATAATCGAGTTCCTCCTTTCAACCGATTTTGATTTGTTTCTTATTATTTTGAGATTATGTATTACCTCTAAATTGTCGCGTGTTTGTTTTTGAGTTATTTTGATCAGTTCATATTGTATTTCTTTCAAAATTTCGCAATTTTCACTGCCCATTTCAGTAGTTTGTCGTATGTTCTCAATTGTGCGTTCGGATTGGGCGTCAAAATTCTTTTTTATGTTTGAAATTATGCTCAAAAGACAGGGTGTATTCTTTATATCTTCTAATTTATCGATACAATATGTTTTGTTGATGTGACTTTCAACGTCTCTGTCATTAAGAAGATCCCTTAACGCATCAAATACTTTTGCTTTGTCATTCTCGTCAACAAGAAGAGTTTCGTTATGGGCAAAATATTTATTTCTACATTCTCTGACATTATCTATGACAAATTTCCTTATTTTAAATGCATTACATCTTTCCCATATACTGCATGCATTTGAGAGATCGAGGTAATTCACTGGTGAGCCATCTGTAGGGAATGTTGTGAAAACACTAGCAATATTTTCAAAAGATTCTTCCCAATTTGCCGTTGTCTGTGTAGTCCAGTCTATTGTGTGCTTTGGACAATGACGTTGGAGATGTTTTTGCCAGCCTTTGCAAGGCTGACACCATCTGAAAATGAGAATGAATTATGTAATAAAATTATTGTCACTATTTATAGGGTAATCATTGTTTGAGAAAAAATGTACAAAAAGGGATGGCTACCACGTTTGCTATTTGCCTTGTACATTATTTTCTCTCCTTTACTTTTCATACAAAGAAGATAGTTAAAAAATCTATAATACTGATGTATTTGGATTAAATCTACAAATCTCGAAAGACAACTATTCTTTATGATTTTAATTCGATAAATAATGTTTTGTTTGATGAATTTATTTCACTCTTTTACCCAGAAGTATTTCAGACCCAAATCTTTCGTCATAACTATGTGTGAAAATGAATAATGCTTAACAGGATGGGTGATAACGTAGCATTTGTCAAGGTCATCACGCTTGTGGCCGCGTCCATATCTTGAAATGTTTTTTCTATTTTTCAACATTTGAATCATTATCATATATCAGGATATTTTTCCGATTATTATGGCAATATTTCTTTAGTCGGCTGTGTAATTTCAGCTAGACCTCTTGTAAAATACACAGAAGTGAGTTTCATAAATCATTTTAAGCCCCTTACAAGCGCTAAAGTCATACGCATATTAACTATTAAAGCATGCGATCGTTTCACATATACTTTATTGCTCATATACCACGCGATTAAGAACTGAATGAAACAAGAACGTGTTTGTTAAACACAAATGCCCTCGTCTTAGATTCTTGTCAGTAGCAATATTTCAAAAAAATGTTTACCCATTCACTCAGTTATGGAAGGAAAAATTGGCAAAAAATTGTAAACACAAGTTATATAGCTTGACAAAGTCATTGCATTTTGTAACTGTGATAAATATAAGTTGCCAAGTCATTGCTCTGACTTGTGAAGTTGAAAAATATTCAACTTCATGCAAGTTATCTCCCTACCAAATATGAAATACATCTGTCATTAAATAAAGGCTGTATGGGCAAAAGTGTAAAAATCTATTTTCAGCACTGGTGACCTTGACCAAACAGACCCCTAACTCTAGCCAAAAGAAGAATACCATGTAAGGTATCTTCCTACCAAATATGAAATACACCTGTCAATAAAAAAGGCTGTATGGGCAAAAGCGTAAAAATCTATTTTTAGCACTGGTGACCTTGACCCAACTGAACCCTTACTTTATCCAAAGGACGAATACCATGCAAGTTATCTTCCTACCAAATATGAAATACATCTGTCAATAAATAAAAGCTGTATGGACAAAAGTGTAAAAATCTATTTTTAGCACAAGTGACATTGACCTACTGATCCCTACCCCAATCAAAAGGATGAATACCATGCATGTTATCTTCCTACCAACTATAAATTATCTGTCACTTAATAAAGGCTGTATGAGCAAATATGTAAAAATCTATTTTTAACATTGGTGACCTTGACCCAACTGACCACTAACTCCATAAAGTTTATGTTTATATCAATAATAAATAACATCTGTCTATAGAATAAGGCCAATACACCTGTAAAAATATAACAATCTATTTTTAACATTGGTGACCTTGACATTGGTAACATTGACCTAGACCCAATTGACCCCTCACTACATCAAAAAGAAGGAGGACCTCCCTTGGAATGTTTGTATTAAACTAAGACATCAACTAAACAAGAGGGACATGATGGCCCTGAGGTCGCTCACCTGTATATAGGCCCCCGTCCCCACCCCCCCCCCAACGTTGCAGGGCCAATTTAACCCAAGGGCTTTTATTTGCACAAACTTGGTAGACACCCATAAGAAGATGTTTCATGCTAAACATCTAAGCTCTAGCTCATTGGGCCTTTTAAAAGAAGATTTTTTTAAAGTTTTTACTATACACATATAGTTAAAAACAATGACACCCCTGGGGCCGGACCAGTTTTGACCCCAGGGCTTTTATTTGAACAAACTTTGTAGACACTTACTAGAAGATGTTTCATGCTTAATATCTAAATTCTAGCTATTTGGGTTTTTTCAAAGAAGATTCTAAGTTTTTGCTATACACATATAAAGAAAATCAATGACCCCCGGGGCGGGGCCAATTTTGACCCCAGGTCTTTTATTTGAACAAACTTTGTAGACACTCACTAAAAGATGTTTCATGCTTAATATCTTAACTCTAGCTATTTGGTTTTTTTCAAAGAAGATTTTTTTAAAGTTTTTGCTATACACATATAAGGAAAATCAATGACCCCCGGGGCGGTGCCAATTTTGACCCCAGGGCTTTTATTTGAACAAACTTGGTAGACACCAATTAGAACATGTTTGACGCTAAATATCTTAGCCATAGCTCTTTGAGTTCTTTAAAAGAAGATTTTTTAAGTTTTTACCATATGCATACAGGGAAAATCAATGACCCCCGGGGCGGTGCCACCTTTGACCCTAGGGCTTTTATTTGAACAAACCTGGTAGACACTTATTAGAACATGTTTCATGCTAAATATCTCAGCTCTAACTCTTTTGGTTCTTTAAAAGAAGATTTTTTAAGTTTTTACTATATGCATATAGGGAAAATCAATGACCCCCCGGGGCGGGGCCAATTTTGACCCCAGGGCTTTTATTTGAACAAACTTGGTAGACACTCACTAGAAGATGTTTCATGCCAAATATCTAAGCTCTAGCTCTTATGGTTTTTTAAAAGAAGATATTTAAAGTTTTTTCTTTCGGTTGCCATGGCAACCAGAGTTCTGCATGGAATTAAATTCTTTGAACAATTTTTAAAGGTGACCACCAAAGGAACATTCCTGTAAAGTTTGGATGAAATTGGCTTAGTGGTACAGGTAGAACTTAAGAAAAATCCAACTTGCCGTTCTAGGTTAACCTCGAACGGACAGACGGACGGACAGACAGACATAAGTCATCAGTAGTGACCATAAAAAGAAAAATTAGAATCAACAGAGTTACAACAGAAAGATAACAGTAGATTTATATAGGTGAGGGAAATCATACGCTTTTTGCATGGTATACATTATGGGCAACGGCATTCATACGTTTTGGGCAATACGTTGGAGCACATCATACGTTACGAGCAACGACATCTGTTAGAGTACATAATACGTTTCAGACACTGATACACGTAGGTTAACCCTAATTTGTTTATATAGCATATACTGAAAAAGGGATATCGTGTGCCTTAGAACTGAAAATTTACAACACTGCATTTCATCTTTACTTAAAAAACTTTAAATTCAGAGCAAAAAAAACATGTATTTTTATTATTATTAAACAGCAAAAACATGTGTTTCGTATAAAAGCAAAAACATTTATATCTTTTTTTTACAGCGACATCCTATTTCATATTAGAAAATGTTTATTTACAAAAGTTGATTTTTTTTCTTCTAACACTTTTTTTCATATTTTTGATACTGGATTTTTTCACAATGAATAAGTGCAATACAGTGTAATGTCTCATCAAATAACTAATAACTGTAAATGTTGTCTTTTCGTTGATTTCAACGGCATTTAGTCTTTGTACGGGAATGTTTATTTCTTCATATTTCTTTTTACGCACAGTTTCAATCTTCTCTACAAAGTTCTTAAATATGTCCAAAGCTGATGATGAAGATGCAAAAGAGGATATTTTTGGACCCATAGATGACGGAGACGAGTTCAGTGATAGTGACAATGACAGTTAAGGTGATATTGCTATGGCATATTCTTCAGAGGAGCCCTTAAATTCAGACCCTTGGGACGAATTTTTAAACGAAGTTTTCCGGAAGCGTCATTCGCAGTATGACAGTAAAGTTAGTTAATGAGCTCATGGAGATAAACAACGATATCAGCGATTCTGAAGTCATGGAAGAGTTTATCAGGATATGAAAAATACATACTGGACGGCTATGTTGAATAGTTTTGGTAGCAAACTGCTGTGGTTAGATGCCATTGAAAAAGACCCCGTCTACAAATCTATAACGGCGACTATCTAGCAGCTGATTGATTCTGAAGGTTATGATCCAGAAGATGCTTAAAAATACAGCATCCTTAAGAGGAAGTTTTATTTGACTAGAAATGTGTCATCATGCCACGGATGACCCGCATGCAGCCAAAATTTCAGATGTTGCATTAATTTTTTTTTTCATTTTAAGTTCAAAGCCCTTTAAACTTTTAAATGTTAACACAAACCATTTTCATACAATGTTCAAGGCACTGAAATTATTCAGTCTTAACCTTTTAAAAATAGCATATTGTATGTTTGTAGCCAAAATAATGGCTAAAAGTATGAGTGCTGAAACTGAAAGTTCAAAATTTTTCCAACACTCAGGAGAGATAAGTTTGTCTAAAATCATTGAACAGCGACCAAATTCAAACTTAAACTGCTTATTCCTAAGATGTATCTATATTATTTTCAAAGTGAAAGGGACATAACTCTGCCAAAAAATCATCAAACCATGACCAAATTCCTTTGACATATCCATATGTAAAATTTGAGTTGAATATGTAACACTGTTGGGTACATAATTAACGGAAACTGAAAATTTCATATTATTTCAAAGTAAAAGGGGCATAACTCTGCTAAAAATCATCGAACCATGACCAAATTCGAACTTGACCTGCATTTTCTCATGACATATCCATATGTCAAGTTTGAGTTGAATGTGTTGTACCGTTGTGGAGATAATGAACGGAAACTGAAATTTCATATTATTTTCAAAGTAAAAGGGGCATAACTCTGCCAAAAATCAACCAACCATGACCAAATTCGTTCTTGACCTTTATTTTCTCATGACATATCCATATGTCAAATTTGAGTTGAATGTGTGCAACCGTTCTTAAGATAATGAACGGAAACTGATGATGACGGAATGACAGAATGACAGAAGGACGGAAGGACGGAATGACGGAACAGGGTAACACTATATGCCCCGGCCATAAAATGGCGGGGGCATAATAAAGTGTAAGAAAGGTACGACAATTCCGACCGGGAAGCACAATCGAAAACTGCTTAAAATGATGAAACAACGTGAAACCAATACTTACGACAGAGATTAAACGAGTGTTTTGAGAATTGTTTGTCCTAGATACAATTTGAAAAGAAAGAACTATGATGTTGAGTCGCTGACAATAAAGGCACAAGCTTGGACTTTGTTGAGAGGATTGACGTTTCTGACTTATAATGTATTTCATATACCACGTGCTTATTACAAAGAGTGCTAAAACGCAACAGGACTCGCATTTCATGAAGTAGTCCAAACATTTTTTTACTTCTGATATGATTAATATTCTTATACATGAATCATGAACATGAAAATTCCGGAGCTCTAACAATAAGCTATTGAATTGAACAAAAATGCAATAAGACGTGTTTTATTATTTATATGTATTAACATGCAAAACCAAAGTGTAAATAAAATAACTCATTTTCTCGTTTTTGATCGTTTGTCAACAATATGAAAGTACGGCGTTACATTTTAATTGTTGTTAATACAACTTAATGTTTGTCAAAAACCAGTGAAGTATTCTATTACCACGGATGCCTTATCGTTGTATCTGTCATACACATCAACCTCGTAGTGTAAAAATGAATTATATTTTGCGTGGTTAGAAGAAGGGATATAACCTTCAGTGGATGATTTATTCATTTCATAGTCGACACAGAAAAACCTCGATTTATTTTAATTGGAGGTAAAAGTGGCAAATACAATGTAATAAGAATCAGTTAGAATACCTTTTTAAGTCAAATCTTAAAACAATAATTCTGTCGTTCTTAATTCTGAAATTTACAATATTTCTTTCATTTAAAAATTGAAAAAAATATGTTAAAACCTATAGCGTGTATTGGTGAGAGTCCATACTCTGTATAATTATCTACAGTGTAAATTTGCACAAACAAATAAGTAAAGAATAAATCATTGAGCAGAACACAGCTAATATTGTAATTTAGATTCAGTGCCGCGCAGAACCATTATACGCTGTTTCGATTGAATAAGGCTTTATTCATGCACACTAACCAAATGCACGTGATTTATTATTTCCTAAGTAAACGGACATTTTCTGTACGAAATTGGCTGTACTCATAGTTTTATTTAACAATAGGTTTAGCTCTTAAATTTGATTCGCAAATCATGGTCTTGCAACTACAGAATGGGGATACAGATAAAAACTACAATTTTGCAACTCGCAAGTAGAAATCTGCAGCTGCACGCATGTTACCAATAGCAGCGCTGTTGTTCATCATTTGTTTATTAAAGTTAGTAAATATTGCTTGAAAGTGTAATTTAATGGAATGTTATTAATTGTTCTCCAGTGATTTAATCTAATTATAGGTAGAGGAGTTATTTATAGACTTTGGTTTTTTTCAGCATTATGTACAGCATTTACATGTACTCCCTAAATATAGGCTTGTACATATATTGCATGCTATGTAATGAGTTTGGCATAGTTTCATTATTACTCAGTTGCAAAGCGAAAATATCAACATATAGTATCATTTTTATATATACTTTTACAATAGTTTGTATGCAATTGTACATATATTACATAAAAATGCATGTAATATTTTTCTTGTTTCGTTTATTTTTTTATGTATGCTAACTACATTAAATTTCAGTCTGAGATAAGTTTAACTATAACAGTGTAAAACTGTCCTTTACAAAATTCTCAATTGCATATTTCTTTTCATAAAATTGTTGTTCTGCTTTCAACTCTTCTCAAATTACTCATTTCAATAGACCAATTAAAGTTAATCATTCTGCCCGAGCTTTTTTATAAACGTTTGTTGTATTCACTCCCTTTACAAAAAAATAGTTTAAGGTAATGTAAAAAAGGCCCTACCTATTTTTTTATCAATGCATGAACATACTTTAACTGTTATCATTTTGCATCGAGTGACTCAAATCTGTAAACACAACGTGATTATTTAAAGATCACCATAGATAAAAATACAAACTTTGTCATATTTTAAATGATTGAAGTATTTTACTCATTGAAAATTAGATACCGAATTATAATTAAAACTTTATCACGAGTAAATATTTTACTAATTGGGATCGCTGATAAGCTTATTTAAAAGAATGACTTTATGGGTTTTTTTTTTCAAGTTTAAATCATTTTTTTCTGTGAAATGTTGATGCAAGTAATTTCATGTTTGGAATATAAGTTCGTACTATATAGTCTCTCTAGGAATTCATTACGGATCCTATGACATCTTTCCTGAATTTCTTTGATAATTTTGACCTTGACTTCCTCATACTTTCGTTTGATTTTTATCAATGTGAGTCGATTGAAAAACAATTATATGAAAAACTTTTAAGTAGAGTCAGGGGATATATATAAGTGTTATAGGTGGAAAATTCACCTTTGGCATATTTAAGAACTTTGAAGAGATGATGGAAACTGTGCGTTAAAAAAACCCGAAGGAATAAACATTCTCGTATAAAGACAAAAAGCCGTTGAAATCCACGAAAAGACAACATTTACAATTATTAATAAATATTTGATGAGACATTAAACTGTAATTTATTCATTCATAGTGAAAAAAATCCAGTATTAAAAACATGAAATAAGTGTTAGAAGCACAAAAAAAAACTTTTGTAAATAAACATTTTCTAATATTAAATAGGTTGTTGCTGTAAAATAAAAGATATAAATATTTACCTTTTATACGAAACACATGTTTTGGCTGTAAAATAACAAAAAAATATTTTTTTACTCTGAAATTAAAGTTTTTTTAAGAAAAGATGAAATGCAGTGTTGTGTGTTTTCAGTTCTAAGACACAAGTTATCCCTCTTTCAGTATATGCTATATTAACAAATTAGGGTTAACGTATGATTTGCCCTATGTGTATCGTTGTCTGAAACGCATGATGTACTCTAACAGATGTCGTTGCTCGTAACGCATGATGTACTCTAACAGATGTCGTTGCTCGTAACGCATGATGTACTCTAACAGATGTCGTTGCTCGTAACGTATGATGTACTCTAACAGATGTCGTTGCTCGTAACGTATGATGTGCTCTAACAGATGTCGTTGCTCGTAACGCATGATGTACTCTAACAGATGTCGTTGCTCGTAACGCATGATGTACTCTAACAGATGTCGTTGCTCGTAACGTATGATGTACTCTAACAGATGTCGTTGCTCGTAACGTATGATGTACTCTAACAGATGTCGTTGCTCGTAACGTATGATGTGCTCTAACAGATGTCGTTGCTCGTAACGCATGATGTACTCTAACAGATGTCGTTGCTCGTAACGCATGATGTACTCTAACAGATGTCGTTGCTCGTAACGTATGATGTGCTCTAACAGATGTCGTTGCTCGTAACGCATGATGTGCTCCAATGTATTCTATTGCCCAAAACGTATGATGTTTCCCAACGTATACCGTTGCCCATAACGTTTGATGTTTTCCAACGTATGCCGTTGCCCATAACGTATACCATTGTCCATAACGTATGATTTCCCTCACCTATATATACCTACTGATAACAGCATTGACAAAGAATTTGATATCAAAAAAATGAATACCAACGGTTGAGAACAACCAACAAAATATAATGGTATATTATGATCTTAACATTCTTACTAAAAATAACAGTAGTCTGAAATCATAATTTAATGCGCGGAGTTCATAAAATATATCAATAATAATGGATAAATAATTGGAATTTAAGAATCTAGGAATCAAATGTGATAGTATTGTCTCTATTGTTTCACTTATAAACTTTATAACAATTTTCAATTACAATTTGTGAATATTTTTTCAACAAGCATAATGGAAAAAAAATATTGAAAGACAGGAAACAATACAGCAAATGAATAAGGCAAAGAATGTGTTGCTCAGAAAAGGTTGGCAAGTACCATTGACAGACAAAGAGTCTATGCCAATGTGTATCTGGAAAAGAAATTACTTGAAATTTACATTATCACTACTGTGTGTTCAAAAAACAAGATGTGAAGGATGTGATCAAGAAATGTTTTAACAAAAATGAAGAAGTGTCGTATAACGTTGATGAAATGTCGATGAAAGGGGTTTTAAGCAGAGATGAAAACAACAAAAGCACGAAGCTTACAAAAAAGTTCTTTATTCAAATTTTGGAGGAAATATGTTAACATGAAAAGGGCTCTCATTGTAGACGAAACACTAAAAATGAATACCAAAATTTACCAAATAAAGACAAATCTAAAATACCTTAAATAATTATACTTGGTTTATTTATTGTTTGTATGCAATATCAATTCCTTACTGCCTCAAGCGATAGATTTGTCAAACAAACAGGCAAGCAGATGGCGATGGTGCACAGGATTGATCGAAATCAAAAACTACTTAAACATAACATCTTCTTTCTCAAGTAAACATATATGGTCAGATACTGGTCATATGCATTATTCAAATAATCCAAGACATTTCACATACTTGTTCATACTTAAACCAAACTCCTGACTATTTTCGAGTATGTGGTCGCCATTAGTCACAGACTACTCGTTTATCTCGCTTAAAACACCGAGCTTCATAGTTAAGTGCAAGAGAAATAACATTTGAGTGATTTACTTGGTACAGTATCGTAATGTTACAGTTAACAAATGTCAAAGATTTCTCACCCTGACTTCAACTTGCATTTCGGTTCCAGAGCTCGCTTTGATTTTTGCTAGTGGAAAAATTCGCCGACGGTTTTGACAGTAACCCTAAATATTGTTATATATTAATATTATCATTTTTCATGTTTACTACCTATTTTCTTGAAAGTCACATACCTTGATGGTCGATTCCCACACGTTCCGGTATATTGCGACTTTCCCGCCAGAGCTTTTTTTATCGTCTGATGCACCTGTTGTAAACCATGTTCCGTGTACGACTTTAACACCCGACACACAAAAACTAGAGCAAGATTTACACAAACGTAGTTCTCGTGGTCCGGATGTTGAAATAGGTTTTCAAAATCCATATTGTCAATATGATGTTATCGTACTTTAACTTAAGTTAAACAATTAAAAAAGGCGAAATAAATAACACACGAGAAAATCCGGCTTTTAAATGATTTGTAATTTTGACTAGTTTCGTTTTCCCTATGTATTGATGTCAGTAGTAACAACGCTTAAATGCACAGGAATTTTATCATGGTTATTGTGTGTCTAATTTTAGCAGTGATCTAACAAGGGAAACCTAGGGAAACAACTCAAACAACCAAAGATATATCAAGACACCTGCATTATCGACCCTGTTACATAAGTATGCTATACCTTTTATTGCTAGTCATAAAATTGAAGTATTTTAACCACATGCAGCTCGATGATTGCTTGATCAAACGACAATTAGATATTTGCTTGATTTTTGTTGTTGTAACCAAACGTCACAAAGAAAGAGGTCAGGACTATAAGCGGGTTGTAGCAAAACTTCAATTATCTCTCCTTTAAATCCTGATCGGTGAGCAAAAGCATTATCATGGTGTATTTTGATTCTGCGCAACCTGGACCATAGGTTCTTTGTAATGTAGTGAGTTTATCGTCTGGTCAAACAAATGAAGCAACGTTTTATCCACTTTGACAATTTCTCACAGGCGTCTAGGGTTTTGATCTTTGAACCTAATAAATAAGGCCGAGGCTTTTTCAATCCGCTCCATTTTCTGGTTAGAATTAAGTTAGCAAATACGGGATATAATGGGCCCGCACTTCCCTTAACTTTATCTTATCTTTCAAGATGGAAAACACGTTAGACACACTAAAATCCCATAAGCCACTTATATCCGCGGTATATCTTGCATCTTCTATGGCTTTCACAGTGCTGATGTCGTTTTCAGAGGTAGCGGAATTTTGCAGCCTATGGCGGGATATCGCTTATCCTAACAAAAATATGAGTTCTACCTTCCTTACACATTGTCAACCACCTGGAAATTGTACGATATGGGAAGGCATCTTTTTCATAAATCTAGATCCGTTTTTATTTCTGACCCGCATTTACTCTCAAAACCTACGAATTTTGCAATAAGCTCTTTGCTCCTCTATAAAATCACAATGCAACTCAGCCATGTTTGCAAGAGTGTTGCCCCGGTCACATATTCACTGATAACGTCACGGAAGAGCTACGGTCTTATCGTTCACGGATTACTATGGTAATGTTAAATTCCGTAGCCGCTGCGGTTCAAGTACGGAAACATAATAGTATGAGTACGGGGTTCGAGGGATTTACCGCCATAATGTAGGTAAAAGCCCCGGGAGAGACACGAATTGTTACGGTCCGACACAATTTGATACTAAGTAACACGAATCAGGACTGCCACGATATAACTACGTGTTAGTACGAATAGGGAGAAGAACGAATCGCCACGGATCTATACGGACCTATTTTATCCTTCCAAAAACTCTTGCATGCTTATTTTCAAAGTGCCCCAAAAACATATAGAAAACGAATTGCAGAGTTCAACGATTCTGACACAGAGGATTCGGCCTCATCGCCTCCAACACCCGAGACATATCAGGTCCAATGCTGGTGAATTCCTATAGGACGTCGGATCCTCATCAACAAGTTCGGCCATGAAAGCCTCATACTGGCCACGAACGGGTCTTCCTAAATGCCAATCTCTAGTCCACCATCTCCTCTGTCTTCTCTTACCTGATTAAATATGTACTTGTAATCGTTGATTAATACTGCTTCTCTTTTGATTTCAAAACTGGCTGTTCATTTAACAAAACGTTAAAGTTTATGTTTTAAGAATATATATTAAAACTTGTTAATCTTATCTCAATGGTCAAGAAGGTCGTATTTATACCCTAGAAAAAGTACATTATACTTAATTCATTCGAACTTAACCGTACCATTACGCATCGTTTCGTGTTGCAACTTATTAAACCATTATCCCTGCCTCTCCGTAGAACAACGTATTACAATTTTTTCTTTCCGTGACAATGCCGTATTAAAACCGTAGCTTGTACGTAGGGTAACCGTACAAATACGTCAGTTTTCCGTTTCAAACCGTGGAAATCCTTGACAAGTTTGGGCCTACGAATCAGTTCGGACTAGTCCGTTTTCGTACGGACCAGTACGTATCAGTACGGCTTAATAAGAACTAGTAGGGATACGCTACGGTTGATTTTTCCCTGGCAAATTTTTGTGCATGTTCAAAAATTGTCAAAGATCGCTACGGATAATCAATGACTACTACGATAGATTACGGTTACAATACGGAGAGCTACTGACCAGTACGGGTAGCTACGGACGATGCCGGAATTAATCCGTGGCTCTTCCGTAGTCGTATACCGAGGTATCAAATACATATCAAATACATTATGTTTTTTTATATAAGATAATTAGATACCAAAAAATCACCAGTTTTTGCATCATACTGACACGGAAGCAACCCATGTTGTTTGCACTTACATCACATTTACCTGATAAACATGATGTCTGGAAGCACATGTGTTATAGGCGTGTGTGTGCGCGATTTTGGTACTTTTATTTCTTTCCAATTTGGTGTTTTTAGTCGGTTGGTTCCGATATTCCTCACTTGAACACAGTTGAATGAACGTTACGATGTGTTGCCTGCTTTTTAATTTTGTCTTTTGACATCTAATCTGTGGTATGCAGGCCTCATCACCTCAGTCTGATCTCCAGACAAATTCCTTTTTATTTAGTTTCGCCCATTGTTCACACTGATTTTTTTTACTTGGGGACCATATGCTACTTTTCATGGAATAACACTAAAGTGTCACATTGTGAACACATCTGCGGATATTTCAAATTCATAATTTTACAGTTCATGTAAAATGTGAGATTCTGCTTAAGCGTATATAAGGGGGCATGGACGGTAACTTGCACTTTCAAGAACCGTCTATGAACTAGCTTTATACAATCGAGCCTGTAACATTTACAATTTTGTCTATTTAGGCTTTACTTAGTGACTCTCTTTTTCACTATTAAAAATAATATTCATCCAGTATTATCGCAAATAAGGTATTAACGGGTGTTTATTTGGAAATCAAACCTATAATAAGGAACGCTTAAAAGACAATTTAAGTACTAAAGAATATCAGACTGTAAATATTGATGACATGTCATCATCTGACAAATCTATTGTGAAAATTAAACCACATATAGGTTATAAGTAGTGTTAGTAATTTTTGTCTTGGATGTTTGATCTGCTTATAGTTGTAATTCAAAACAAAAACATTCTCTTTATCGATCTATCGATCGTTTATTTATTTGTACATTTTCTTGATGGAATAAATATATAAATGCATCATTTGTAAAAAGACAACAAACAATAATCATTCAATCAAATGTGACACGATAGCTAACTCACTAGTACGAGAAGAAGTGAATTTTATGTAACAACAAACACTTTAATACTCAGAGCATATGATACAAGTTGTTAAACTTACCATGACGTGTCAATAAGAAAGTCTTGACGGAATCAAGTTTCAAATCAAAATTAGCAAAGTTTATACATCATATTACAAAATACTGTCATATTCAACCATAAAAAAAGATGGTTTGAATTTTGCTTATGTTGTAAAATGGAGGGAATGTCGCTGAAACGCCATTATAGCGTACATTTTATCGTTGGATTGAGGTAACATTGTTTATTATATGATTTAAATATAGCTGTAATCTCACTGGTCCAAACAGTAGTCAACAGAACTTTTTATAAAATCATAATACACTACACTGATGTGTACTATCGCCTCGGTCAATATGACTGTCTGCCGGTGAATATCACATCATATTCAATGGCTCACTAGTCAATAATTGTATAATATATACTTATGTAATTATATTGGTTATTCACAACAGGGAAACACGCATGCATCAGTTTCGTGCATATCTTATCAACAAATCATCTTTTCAATATAAAGATTTTTTTTTATATTTTTTTATATAGCATAAATTTATATATACATCATAATTCAGTATGTTTGGATATCAATGTTAAAATAGCTTTCATGGACAATTTCTAGGTAAAATAATGATATTTACTTATATATACTAGTGACCACTAATGACAATAAGGCATGAGTGCAAAACAGTTTTGATAGAGCAAAACACGGTGATATACAAAAATGCAATAAACAGAACTAAGTTAACCATAGCAAATAGAAAATAAACATAAAACCATTCACATAAACATAACTTTATAAGCATTTCTTTATCTGAAAGAACATGGATGTCGACACTAAAATGACATTCTAGCTGCATGATAAATATGTCGTCTGCATAGTCCAGGGGGGTTCTTCCGGTTAGGTCAGTTTTTGTCCAATTCATGACATAACCGCTTGCAATTATTATACTAATCATTTCTATTCTTTTATATTTCATTAACAGATGTTCAACTGACGCACCAGCTGGACAAGGATAGTACGTGTCCAATATCATCATTGTATCCACATAATTAGAAATGTCATATTTAAAATATTTCATGAAGGTGAAATGCAAATATAACCAGCCATTAGATATCGATTGACACTGCTCATTCAGGACATTATTGGTAAGAAGAATTGAAAAAAGTTGATCGTCGCTAATTACTATGTAGTAAAGAAATGGGGTCAAACCATTAAATCGGCATGAAAGTAATTGAGGGTATTTTGTAATGAACATTCTTACAGAATCTGCAATAAGTATATATCTCCGTTGATAGAAAGGTTTTTGTGCAAGTGTATGAAGTGGTGAATTCGTTAACAATGAAGGATGTAAACTTTTATGTCTAGGAAAATGAGCTACATATGAAGTTAATTCTAACATTTTTTTCCATTGTATCAAATCATCATCACATACTAATTCCATATTATTCACTACAGATAGCATAATGATGTCTTTTATGTCATAATAGGAATTGCACTCAAAAATTGCTTTATCAATAGTTCTTGTGTTAATTACCAGTGCGTCTCTAGGAACGAATGTTTCTAATATATCCATACATCTGTTGCTAAAAAGAGTGTCAATTACATATTCGTCATAAAAGACTCCTACAACATCAACAAGATACATAAAGATATTTTTACTACAGAATTTTGAAGCTTTAATTAATGGGAATTGTATTATGTTTGTAATTTCTTTTTCGTGTTCATGTATATGAGACACTATATCTACCCTGTCATTCCTTATAGCACATGATGACGCAACTTTTAGAAAGCGATCTAGTAAATGTGATCTTGTTTCTTTGTGCTTAATGTATTCTGATAGTAGCTGAAAGCTCTTGACAGACGCAGAGGGGCATAGATCGAGATATAATTCTGCAACTGGTTTTTTAATTTTTAGATAAAAAAAATTTATTTTGACATACTCGTCATCTGATTTTGCAACATGATAAACCAACGTCCTCAAAGTTCTAATATGTGAAATATTAGAACATGTAAATAAGTAGTTTGAAAACATTGAATGACCGGCACTAAGATAAATATTATACGTTTTACTGCTGTTACTTATCAGCCATTCATAAATCGAATTGTGTTTAAATGTAACAAAATAATCAGATGAAAGATAAAGATCTAATTTTCTCATGATTCTTGAAAATTCCGATTTATTACACAGTTCGTTTGTTTCTAGGATTTCGAAAACTGTGTCGGTTGACATTTTTTGTACGCTTATTAGCTGTAAAATTATTTTTGCAACTTCGAAGTCGTTGTTAGTTTCAAAAAGTCTATTAAAATTTAACTCATAAAGTAATTTTATATTATTGGGTAGATTAATAAAATTTTGTAAACTGACATTTCCAGATTTGATAATATATTTCAATGAATGACTGAGATATAGAATATTTCCCTGACTTTTGTCAGCAAATTGTTGAATTAAGTGCGCATCAGACAAGTTCAAGCGTTTCATTAAATACAGCTTTATATCATTTAGATTTCTTGGGTCCATGTAATCAATCTCCAAAGTAGTCAGTTTCTCTAGAGAATTTTCATACCTTTTCTTTGAGGTAATCATCCATTTCAGCCATTTGGGCAAATCAATTTGCATGAGAAAGAGCTTTTTAGATAGGAGGTCTAAAATTTGGTTACGTTCATCAGAATCAGAACATTCATCTAATGCATCAATAATTATTATCCAAGGAGCATCATCGGGTTCTGGTAAATCTTTTAAGGGCAATGTTATTGCATGATCGAAACATGCACTTATATCATTTGCACATTTGTTGTCATCAAATATGAAGGTATTATTTTGTGTTTCAATATGTTTGCTATACTGTATACTTTTTTTGGATAAAAACCATATTAATCGTCTGATAAGCAGCACTGGATTCTTTGTTAAATCATGTGAATCAAAACAAACATGAAAAGCTATAATATGCCGTCTTAACATCCATCCGTTTTCATTTTCTTTAGCACAAAGAAGTTGTGATACTATTGCAGATTTACCAAATCCATAATCAGCCACCAATAATGTACCTTTTGACATTCTATCGTGTACAATCTTTGTCTCAAGTATTTCAAGAAGCCATTCCCTACCGACAAACTCGTTTTCTTTAGGTAGATACCCAATCATTGCTATGTGCAGTTTGAATGGATAGTTTGATCTCTCGGATAGGCATCCTGAAAAAGGGGAAATACATTTTAATGACCTAACTCAAGTTTATTTATAAAGCACATTAGAAGCAAGCGACAGAGAGAGAGAGAGAGAGAGAGAGAGAGGGAGAGAGAGGGAGAGAGAGAGAGAGAGAGATGTAATGGTATAGCCACACTCTAACGTATGAGAGTATATAAATATAAATAACATGGGTTTGTGGGTAACAGTAAAAATATAATCCCAATAATATACTTCTAAGCGAGGCATTATATTTATACCCCAACTGAACACTTTCATATGAGGAGCTTATGCGTAACGTATGAACTATAAATTTTAGAACGTGTTAAAACAGCCACTGTGTATAAGAACGTGCAATTACGTATGTCAGTGTGTTTGTAACGTAAACGACTTATGCCGAGCATACCCCTAATGTACATCTGCGTATGCGAGCGTATGAGCAATTTTTATCGTACGCTCACTCACATACGTTAATGCCATACGTTATACTGTGACTGCACCAATACGGCGGATGATAAAAATTCAGTCAAACGAAGTTATGTTATGAATTAGATGTCTTTAAATTGACTGTTATATTTAACCACGACTGAAGACCTAATACAAAATGATATTTTAATAGGCTTTTGAATTAAAGAACTCAGCAGACTTCCACAATCATTTAATCATAAAATTTTATTTTAGTTTATATAAATCTTCATGGGGAACTTAAAAAAGAAGTACAAATGTATATGCAAAGGATAATGATAAATATACTTAAATCGTTTTTGTGTTTTACTTAGCCCTGTTAGAGAATGGGAAATATTCTGAAAATCGTATATTTGAGCTTTTCTTAGCCCTATTTGAGAGAAAAGCGTTGCAACGCTTTTGAATTTTGGGTAATTTTTCGCAATTATGATAAAAGTGAGTGAACAAATGATCTGAAATTTTGTATTAGTGTAAAAATCTCAGTGTAGTGCCTTTCAGATCACCAGTTCTATACTATTTTCAGGTTTTACATGTTCCTCCCATAGTTTACTGACCGTCTCATATTACAGATCTTTTGCAAGCAAAGTAGAAAAAATATATAATATCCAAAGTTTCATACTTTAAAATTAAATTTGTTTTTGTGGCATTAATCATTAAATGAAAACAATCATACGCTTACCGTAAAATGCATGGACTCTCCTGTATGTATTGCTTTTTCGTTAGTATCGTGAGACAAATATGTTGCAATAATAAGAAGCATGTTACAATAATGACGACTATGTATCAAAGTGATTATGTTTCGAAAGAAATATCATATTCTTGATAGCATGCTTAAATAGTATTATTGTATCTTTTATTACGTATGTCTTACCTTGATGTATGTTGCTTATGTTTGCCTTGCCATTTTCAGGGTGAACATTGTCAGAAACTTCATTACTGACATGTCGAGACGGTATGAAATAAAATGATGCAAGAATACAACATAAAACTAACAACACAGCCACTAGTATTATTTGAATGTTCGTTTTATGCCTGAAAGCATGTGGATTGATTCCATATGATTAAGCCGTTGTTGAATGGACATGTCCTCAATTATGATTGATATTTCCTTCAAAACATTACTGTTCTCTATTGTAGAAATTGTAATTTGTTCTAAAAGTTTAATATTTTCTTCATCACAACTTTCCATCTTTTTAAATTTCAGTTTTATTTCTTCAATAGTCTTTCTTAGGCTAGATTGAGGTATACATTTTATTTTATCCAATGCGTTTTTGTCCACCTTTTGAATATGTGGCTGTACATATTTATCATTAAGAAGGTCTTTCAGTGCATCAAAACCTTTTGACTTATCCAAATCACTAATAAGAAGTGTATGATTGTGGGCAATTTTTTTGTTTCTAATTTCTCTAACTTTTTGGATGTATAACTTATTTATCTGAAATATACTGCAACATTCCCATACATTACATGCAGTTGATATGTCAAGGTAGTTTGCAGGTCCATCAATTTTCTTCTTTGGTTCCGAGAAAACACCGGCTATGTTCTCAAACGATTCATCCCAATTTGCTGTTGTTTGTTTATTCCAGTCAATTTGCTTTTTATTACTCGTGTAAGCTTCGAGATGTTTTTGCCAATTTTTACAATTCTTACACCACCTGAATTCAAACAAATATGAAATAATTACGAAATAGAAGTAATACCAATTGTTAATACTTGAAATTTGGAATACATAATTTTTTAAAACTCACATGGTGTTATCTGCGAAAATGATGGTTTTCTATCGTGTTTGCAGTAATCGCCAACACTCTACAATCACCCGTAATGATCTAAAACATTCACACAAACCAACACTCTACAATCACTCGTAATGATCTAAAACATTCACACAAACCAACACTCTACAATCGCTCGTAATGATCTAAAACATTCACACAAACTAACACTCTACAATCACCTACATTTGATATAAAACATTCCCACAAACCAACACTCTACAATCGCTCGTAATGATCTAAAACATTCACACAAACCAACACTCTACAATCACCTGTAATGATCTAAAACATTCACACAAACCAACACTCTACAATCACCCGTAATGATCTAAAACATTCACACAAACCAACACTCTACAATCACCCGTAACGATCTAAAACATTCACACAAACCAACACTCTACAATCAACCGTAATGATCTAAAACATTCACACAAACCAACACTCTACAATCAACCGTAATGATCTAAAACATTCACACAAACCAACACTCTACAATCACCCGTAATGATCTAAAACATTCACACAAACCAACACTCTACAATCGCTCGTAATGATCTAAAACATTCACACAAACCAACACTCTACAATCACCTGTAATGATCTAAAACATTCACACAAACCAACACTCTACAATCGCTCGTAATGATCTAAAACATTCACACAAACCAACACTCTACAATCACTCGTAATGATCTAAAACATTCACACAAACCAACACTCTATAATCATCCGTAATGATCTAAAACATTCACTCAAACCAACACTCTACAATCAACCGTAACGATCTAAAACATTCACACAAACCAATATTCTACAATCAACCGTAAAGATCTAAAACAATCACATAAACCAACATTCTACAATCAACCGTAACGATCTAAAACAATCACACAAACCAACACTCTACAATCAACCGTAACGATTTAAAAACAATCACACAAACCAACATTCTACAATCAACCGTAAACGATCTAAAACATTCACACAGACCAATACTCTACAATCAACCTTAACGATCTAAAACAATCACACAAACCAATACTCTACAATCAACCTTAACGATCTAAAACATTCACACAAACAGATACTCTACAATCAACCGTAACGATCAAAAACAATCACACAAACCAACATTCTACAATCAACCGTAACGATCTAAAACATTCACACAAACCAACACTCTACAATCAACCGTAACGATCTAAAACAATCACACAAACCAACATTCTACAATCAACCGTAACGATCTAAAACAATCACACAAACCAACACTCTACAATCAGCCCTATCGATCTAAAACAACCGCACAAAACAGCATTCTACAATCAACCGTAACGATCTAAAACATTCACACAAACCAACACTCTACAATCAACCGTAAAGATCTAAAACAATCACACAAACCAATACTCTACAATCAACCTTAACGATCTAAAACATTCACACAAACAGATACTCTACAATCAACCGTAACGATCAAAAACAATCACACAAACCAACATTCTACAATCAACCGTAACGATATTAAACATTCACACAAACCAATACTCTACAATCAACCGTAACGATCTAAAACAATCACACAAACCAACATTCTACAATCAAGCGTAACGATCTAAAATAATCACACAAACCAACACTCTACAATCAACCTTAACGATCTAAAACATTCACTCAAACCAACACTATACAATCAACAAATAAAACTTTGCCGCGCGGGGCCGCGGGGCGAGATTAAAGAAATAAAACGGCGAAAACGCGAATGGCACAAATCAGCTACCATAACAAACAGATGGGATATATCATTTCGATTCCAATGTTTCAACAAATAAATGCTGCCGTACCTGATATTAACCTTAATTTTGTCCGATTCGCGTCGCAGTTTTAAGTAAAACGTCACATGTCTAAATATAGATTGTCAACATTAATTTTACTTCTTTGTTCAAAAGAGAAAAATGAGGGTCGTGAATAATGCACGATTTATCGTCGAAATGCTTTGTAATTTATCACCCAGGTCTATCGGCCTTCGTGATACAAAAACGCACTAAAAATTGATATAAAAAAGTTGACTGTTTTAGAGAAATTCAATAATTTGAAATTTGCAGTCAATGTCATTTCATTCTCAGGTTTATTTCGAAGTGTTCAAAGGTTTCCTATTTTACAAGTATAAATCAAATTCATAAATGCACAACAAAGAAATGACAATTAAACAAATTCAATACTAGTTTTTTTTAACCTTGACGGTCAAGGTCAGTTAAATGTCACTGTCAGTTGAATTATTCAAAATAATAAATTTGTCGTAAGTGGTCTTTTGTCCAAGTGTGAAGCAAATCCATAAATAAATAACAAAGTAATGACAATTTAAGCTTGACTTTGGCGGTTTTCAAGTAATGTACGTTATCGTTCGTTTGCATGTGACGTCCACCGCTTTTTGTTCGCTATGCTATAGAGGTTACATCTTGGTCACCGCACCAATATCGAGAATTGTATAAAAAAAATTATAGAGAACACCATCCTAGTGTTTGATATTCAACAAGGGCAACATTGTCACATAATACACCCGTCACAAAAGCTTTTGTCTAGAAGATATGCTCTGGGCAATATCCGGACAATATATAGATATATTATCGTCTCTGATGACCTTGACCTTCAAATATTAACCTTAATTACATGTGTCACACTTGATAGTCATCATTTGTGTTAAAATCCATGAATAAATGATTAAAAAATGGTCCCCGTACAATATCTTTGACATTTCTACGTGACCTTGCTTTTGGTAGCAGGGACCTGGATTATGTGCACAATACTTAGCTTCAAAATAGTAGTCATGATATTGACCATTTGTCTTTCAATCCCTCAAAAAATGATGACTAAATGGTCCGAATACACATTGTCATATTTTTATCTGAACTTTGACCCCTATGTGTGACCTTGACCTTGGTGACAAGCACTTGAATTTTGCATGCGACACTCAGCCTTACAATGGTGAACATTTGTGTCAAGTTATGTTAAAATCCCGCTCTTCATAAAGAAGTTTTGGTCGGTACAAGTGCTTTTCAATGAACTCTAAGTGTGACCTTGACCTAGAAACCTGGTTCATGCGCATAACACTGCTTCTCATAGCGGTGAACATTTTTATGAAGTTTCATTAGAATTCCTCCATAAATGTAGATGATAAACTCTGGACAAAATCTCTATATTTGTGACCTTTGCCTGCATATATTAACCTTAAGTACTTGTTTCGCACCATTAGTCATGATAATGACCATTTGTGTGTCAATTCCTCAATAAATGATGACTAGATGGTCAGAATACACATTTTCATTTTTCTATAAACTTTGACCCCTTTGTTGTGACCTTGACCTTGGCTGTCATGGCCTAAATTTTCCTCGTGACACTCCGCCTTACAATGGTAAACATTTCTGCAAAGTTGTAATGACATCCCTCTATGCATGTATGCAAGTTTCATTAGAATTCATCCATATGTGTAGGTGATAAACTCTGGACAAAATCTCTATATTTTTTTCATCTTAAGTGACCTTGACCTTGCATATACTAACCTAAATTACTTGTTTCACACCCGTAGTCATGATAATGACCATTTGTTTTTCAATTTCTCAATAAATGATGACTAAATGGTCAGAATACACTTTTTCAATCTTTTATATTAACTTTGATCCCTTTGTTGTTACCTTGACCTTGGTCGCAGTGACCTAAATTTTGCTCGCGACACTCCGCCTCTTAAAATTGAACATTTCTGTCAAGATATATTGAAATCTCTCTATGCAAATAGAAGTTTTGCTACGGACAAGCGTTGACCTTGACCTTTAACCTAGAGACCTGGTTTATATGCGCGACACACTTCTTTAAGGGGTGAAAATTTCTATGAAGTTTCATGAAAATGCCTCGATGTGTGTAGGAGATATGCTCCGGGCAAAAATTGGACGAGCCCGCCCTCCCGCGAGGGGGTAACTATAATACGACCCGTATTTCAAAGGTCGTATAAAAATTATACGGTAAGGCTAAGAAATAAAAAGATACTCGCTCTTCATTTTTTGTGCTGAGCCAGAAATTTTTTATAATAGACACTTGTTCGTTATTCTGGTTATCACATTTTCAATTTTAATATGCGTTTCAATTTTAACGGTCAAGAATCTTTCGAATGCATTCTTCGCGCAGTAACATGCCATGGGTTATATCTTTAAGGAAGAGTCCTAAAATGTTTTAGTCAAATGTGAGAGAGACATTATTATTTAAAAAATCTATTCGATTCAAAGTTTATCAGTACAATATTTTCAAACTAGAAAGTGAAAAAAATATTCCATTTTCTTCATTTATTTCAATATGTATTGATGAGGTGTCTGGTACAGCTGAGGGTGACTGGTAAAACAATATTTATGCACTTTGTCGACAGAAATTAATGTAATTACATAACAAAATGACATGCCATAATTTAGCTGTAATACAAACGTAACAGGATGTGACATCTATAACATAGCTTGACGACGATCGATGTCATTTAAAGGTTAAATAGATACATAACCTAGGTTTAACAAAGTTCAACAAAATCTAATAGGTAGAAGAAAGAGCATCGGAACATCTTACACAAAAAAAAAAACAAACAAATTTTATTTCTATTTACGCATAAAAACAAGTTTAAATGAATTTCCTTAATATTAACTTTAATATTAAAATCCGTTTCCCCCACTGTCAGCCTAATTTTGTCGAATTTCACATGAAATAAAACAAGTCTTGGGCTGAAAAATAAGTTCGACAATCAACGTAAAATGGCGATGATATTATTAATTTTATTCAAATAATATGAATGATCGCTTGTTTTAATAACAAAACAAACAATACTAGTAGGAGAAAAAGTC